GATCTCCCCACTTCACACACGAGTACGAAGAGGGGTTAGAGCCCCCATCACCAATCCCAGGGATGTGTGTACACACCACACTCACACACAAAGTCTCTCTGTCAAAACTGTACAAAAGCAGCTTCAAGACAAGAGTCCCAAGCTTCTCCTTCAAACTGAATTCCTGGCCTTGCCAGTGGCAATCATTAGGCGGCCCTTCTGGCCACGCTTTCTGATTCCTAGGTCAGTGTGCTTGCCTCTCTGCACAGCCCTGTGTCCACAGAAGCCCACAGGACTTGTTAAGAGTTGGGGAGCAGAAGCCTTAGGGGCCTATGGCACAATTTCTGCCTAACCCTTCTTCCACTGTCATTTTTTTTATGGGGGGGGGGTGGACAGAAGTACCAGGATTAAACTCAGAGGCGCTTAACCACTGAGCCACATCCCTAACCCTTTTCTATATTTTATTTAGAGACAAGTTCTCGCTAAGTTGCTTAGGGCCCCACCAAGTTGCTGAAGCTGGCTTTGATCTTGCCATCCTCCTGCCTCAGGCTCCCAAGCTGCTAGGATTACAGTGTGTACCACCCTGCCTGGCTCTTCCACCAACCTTGGGATTCTGACCCTGAACTGTGCAAATCCCTAGGAGGGCCAAGGATGATTGATTCAATCACTTTGTACTAGCCAAGACACAGGGGTTACAAGCAACAAAAATTGGGGCTGGGTAGTTTCAGCAACAATGGAAATTTATTGGAAGGGATCAGGTAGGCTGTCCAATGAGAGGAAAAGATGGGTTGCCAGGACCCAGATTCAAATTCAAAGCAAAAGAGGGCTGGGCACAGTGGCGCACACCTGTAATCCCAGTGGCTCAGAAGGCTGAGGCAGAAGGAGCGCAAGTTCAAGGCTGGCCTGGGCAACTTGATTAGGACCTAAATAGCTCAGTGAGACTCTGTCTCTAAATAAAATACAAAATAGGGCTGGGGATGTGGCTCAGTGGTCGAATGCCCCAAGTTCAATCCCTGGTACCCATCCCCCCCCAAAATTTTAAAAGGGTAGGGGATGGTGGGTCAGTGGTTAAGCACCTCTGGTTCAATCCCAGGTATCCCCCCCAATAAAAAAAGAAGTTCAAAGCAAAAGAAGTCCAATTGGGCATCCTTTAGCCAAGCGTAGGTCCAAACTCCTGATTGACAAGAGCAGCATGCAAGGAGGACTGGCTTCCCAAGGGAAAAGTCACAATGCTAGAAAGAACAGCAATGGCTACAGTGAGCCAGGTCTCCAGTGCTCACTGCTGCCTGAAAGAGTGTGTCAGACGCTGAATACTCTTTTTGGGAGAGGATCCAGCGCTGTCCTCTGGACAGGGACCATTCCACAGTGTATGAAGAGAAAGCCCTAGCAAAGTCTCTGCGACGTGAATGAAAAGGCATCGATCTCCGAGAGTTTGGTGACCTCTAAAATGTTAACCCCCCCAAACCTTGGGCCTTGGGTGGGGAGAGACCATACAATTCAGTGGTTTTCATATCTGACTGTACATGGATATTACCTGGGGAGAATTTTTAAAAATACTAATGCCTAAATACCACTCCAAGAAATTCTGATTCATTCACGGTGGGTGTGGGGCGGGGAGGGAATCTGCATTGTGAAATTCCAGGTGATTATGATTTGAATCAAGGCTGAGAACCACTGACTTAGTGTTTGATCCCATATATGAGTTTCTTTTGGATGAGGTAATTCAAATGCAAGCTAGGAAAAAGGAAAATAAAAATCACTTGATGAAGCATCCTCCGAACAAACACTGTTAATTTTTAAAAATTCATCTACAGTTCACACGAACACATGCACACTTTTATACGGAATAAAGACTCACAGTGCATGTATACACTATTCTGTGACCATTACAACCCACCGTCAACATTTTCCCCGTGTCTCTAGACGTCCTTAGGATAAATCTCTAGACGTGGAATGACGCGGTCTGGGAGCAGGTCCCTTGCCAGGGTGCTGGATGGATGTGCCTCTGCAGTGGAGGCTCAGCTGGTTGGTGTTCCTCCTGCTGTGCAGAGACACATGCCAGCCCTCCCTCAGCGCTTTTCATCTTTGCCAATCTGATTGATGAAAAGGTTACCCTGATGTTCTTTTCTAAATGGCACGTCTTACGTTACCAATGAACTTTTTGTTTCATGTGATTCTTATCCATGTGTCCTATTTTGTGCTTTGGGCCCTTGGCAGCCCTAGTGTGGCATTCTTCAATGGATCCAGTGCCTGGGTTTAGCTGCAGGCTCTCAGGAGGTGGCCTGGCCGGAATGGGTGAACCTGTCTTGGGTCTGTAGCTGAGCTCTGATGCGTTACCAAGACAAACCAGCAGGTGGCAGCAACGATGACGTTCTGAGCGATAGGGCTGAGCGCCCAGGGACACACCGAAACCTGTTCTGGACTAAGCTTCTTTATGGGGAGTTGCTTTCTCTCACACGCATCCTTCAGGCTTCTGGGGGGGGGGGGCAAACTAGGTTTATAAAAATACTACACCCACATCCATTGTGTAATGGAACGTTCTCAGGACTGCTGCTGCTAGGCGGATCTGTAGTGAGTGCCCGAGGGTCGTGCTCTTACCCCTTTGGTCAGGGTTAACCTACTTTTGTTTTAACATGAGGAATCTGGATTTCAGAGAGGCGGCCCGACCTACCCTAGGTCATAGCCAGGTAATGTTTGTATTTCTATTTTAAAGATGAGACACTGAGTTCCCCCAGAGGTGAGGAAACAGAAAGGAGGACTGGGATATCCCCACGTGTGTAGGATTCACTGCCAGGTGTTTTTCCAAGTCCTTCTGTGGTTCTCAAAGCTGGTGAGGGGATCTGAATCACCTGGAGGATGCTTTTTTAAAAATACCTTTTTTTTTTTTTTATATAGTGCTGGGCCCCAGGGCCTTGTGCCTGCTAGGCAACCACACTACCACCGAGCCGCACCTCCAGCCAAAGCTTTAAAATTTAAAACACAGACAACTGAGCTCCAGCACTCTGGGTTTTCGGTTCCCTAGGTCAAGGATGAAGCCAAGACGTCTGTTTCTAACAAGACTCACGTGGTACTGATGCTGCTGGTTGGGGGGGCCATGCTTTGAGAACCTCTGTGACCTGACCTCACCAGACCAGCCTTCAGTGGCCTAGAGCTTGCTCTCTAAGGTCATCAGAGTGCCCTGGAGACAACCATCATAACATCCTGAGACCTCCAGGAAGCTCCACCTGTAGGGGAACCGCTTAATTGGGTTCAGGGGATGAAAATTTCACAGTATGTAACCACAAGGGCACCTGTCAGATCTCCAGAAGGATAAGTCCAGGGTGTTAATGAGCTTCTGGCTACTGGCACGGAGCTCAAGTGGGGTGGAGGCAGGCAGGGCTTTGCCAGGAATAGGGAGATTTTCCTCCTTGAGAATGGATCAGTGTGCAGTGCTGGGAGCTGGGCTCGGTCTAGAGACAGATGTCCAAGCTCAGCAGAGGCACTGGAGATGGCCAGGGTTGCTCCCAGACACTTCCCAGGGACAGACTTTGGAAAATGAGCTCATTTGAGGGCCAAAGGAAGCAGGGTGGTGGGGGGCCGGACAGGCTGGGGTCTAGACTGAGAGGTTTTGGCAATGTTCTCTGCTTATCCACACCCACAGACGTTCCCTAGTCATAGGGACTGATTCAGGGTTGAGGCTCAGCCGGGTGAGCTGCCTCGGAAGGGTCCCAAAAGGCCTCTCCTAGGGTTCTTTCTGGAGGGGCCTGGAGAAGGCCTTCCAATGCAGCATTGCCTGCTGCAGGCAGGACCCTGTCGCCTGATGTCAGGACCTACCCCCTCTTCCCTTTCTGCTTCCTATAAATATTTATTCATTCCATTATTGTCGATTGTTTATTGAACTCTTGACTGTGGTGGGGCACTCACAAAATACCAGGAATGCTGCCACCAAGACAGGAAGCTGACTTTTAAGTGCAGGCAAAAAGACAACCGTCCTGAAAACAAAGACAAAAAATATTGAAGAACATAAACCGAACACTGTAAGAGTTAATAGTGAGGCACCTGCTTTGAGTAGACTGATCAGGTGGGACTTCTCCAGGAAGACAGTGTTTAAGCTGAAAGCTAAAGGAGAGGAAGAACAAAGGTCCTGGGGTTAGGAAAAGCAAGAGTGTGCCGGAACCTAGAGGAGGTTGGAGTGGCAGAGCGAATGGGCAAGGGGAGTATGGCCACGCCTGAGATGTCAACAGGGATTAGACCACGCAGTGTGTTGGAGGTCGTGGTGAAGAGTGTAGGTCCTATTTAAAATGCAACCAGGGATCTAGATGATGCTCATTAGTGACTGCTGAACATGTTAAGTAAAAAGCTTATGGGGAATTTGACAATGGAGGATTAGGCTGACATCATCTGAACCCACTGAAGCTTAGCATCACCAAGTGAGAGACCAGCAGACACAATCCGTTCAAGCCTCTAGATCTAACTCCTGATTACAGAAAATACAGGTGCAGAAAGCACAGCATGTAAAATGTCATCATGAGGGAACAATCAGCAAAAGCCAGTCTGCAAGAAACTCTACAGATCTAATCTTTATGACCAATAAATAGCAGGAGGGAAAAGGGGGGTATCTGTCAATCAAAAGAGATTTAGGAGGACAGCAACCAAGTACAATGTGAGGATGTTGGCAGATTTTATAATAATGGACCTTCATGAATCACCCTGTCAGGTCTAAACCCTTTTACAACCTAATGTTGCTGTTCTTCCTATCAAGAGCGTAGAAACGGTTTCTCCACTGGCTTGAATCTGGGCTGCCCTTGAAATTTGCTTTGGCCAATTGAATATGGCACAAGTGATATGAAAATTCCAGCCTAGAGCTTCTTTGTTTGCTTTCTTGGACTCCTGAGAGCACCCTTCTCTGAAGGAGCCCTGTCTAACCTCTTGGAGGAGAAGAGGCCATTGGAGGGCTGAGACTCCCCAGCCCATAGCCAGCACTAACTGCCAACCCATGAGGGAGGTCATCCTGGACCCTCCAGCCCCAGTTAAGCTATCCGATGGCTGCAGCTTACATGAGGGATCCCGACAGAGACCTGCAGAAGAACCCTCCTGATGTCAAGCCAAGGTGCCATGCCACTAAATATGAGGGTGCTTTGCCACATAATAATAGGTAATAGAAACAGAAATCTTGTTTGAATCCTCACTCAAACTATTTAAAAAAAATTATGAATCAATCAGGGAGTTTTTAATGTTGGATGCTAGGTATTTGATAATATCATAATGTGATTGTTAATTTTGTCAGGTTTGATAATGGTGTGATCATGGCTTTCAAAGAATTTTTTAGGGGCCTTATTTTTCAGAAATGGAAATGTTTGTGGATAAAAAGGAATGATGTCTGGTACGTACTTCAAAATCATCCAAAAGTGGGAATATGGATAAAACAAGGTTGGCCTTGATCATTGTTGAAAGTAGATGATGTACACATGAGAATTCTTTACACTATCCTCTCTTGTAATGGCTCATTAAAGTTTATACTGCAGAGTTAGTTCATTGTAATAGTTTCTCTTGTACCTATTTAATATTTTCTATAATAAAGATGTTTCGGTGCAACTGAAAATCCTACAAGGCCTACCCAGGGCAGTGTGATCCCCTCTCACCATGAGCTGGAACTTTCTGGCTTTTCCTCCTCCAACCCCACCAGAGGATCCCCTGTGATCCCCTCTGGTCCCTGTAGCCCTGATGGTGCCAGCTCATTGTCCCTGCTCTCCCAGGTATCTCTAGCTCCCAGGTCCCAAACCTCCAATGGGCCTGCCAGCCAGTGGCTAAGCTCTGGGTGTGACAGGAAAAGACTCCTCAGAGACGCTCCGTCCCCTAGAATGGGCTACATTCAGTCCCAGAGGAAGGCAGGAGGAGAGTCTGTGAAACAACATCATGAGTCACCACAGCTAATGACTTCCCAGAAGATCTGTGGTTGGACACTGAGCCGCTCCCTTCAAAACATGGCCGGGGAGACACCAGCTCAAGCCTGGTCCGCAGTCAGAAACACAGAGCAGGACCACCACCTGGGCTGCATGTCACTGTGGGACCAGGAACACAGGATATGTACGGTTCCCACCTGCACGCCTGTTGGTACAAGGAGAGGGAACAATGCCACCGGCAAGTGCTAAAGCCACAGAAGAGGACGTCTAAGTCCATTTTCTGTTGCAATAACAAAATGCCCAAGATGAAGTAATTTATAAAAAATTAGAGGTTTTTAGCTCACGGTTCTGGAGGCTGGGAAGTCCAAGAGCATCGGACCAGCATCTGGTAAAGCCTTCTTGCTGCATCATTATAGGGTGAGGAATCATATGATAGAGCAAGTTTACTAGCTCGGCTCTCTCTTTCTCTTCCCCTATAGCATGAATTCCATCATGGGGGCCCCACCTGTGACCTCATCTAATCCCAATTTACCTCCCACAGGCCCCACCTCCAAACACCCCGAATATATGATGTGGGGGATTTAGATTCCAACACATGGACTTTGAAAAGAAACATTCAGACGACATCAAGGAGTCAACCAACAGGATCGAGTTGTCCCTCTTAGGAGAAAAACGACACAAATAAAAAACAGTTGCTGGCAGAATTGGGGCGGGCAGGAGGGAGCCAGAAGACTAATACTCGGACCTATCTCTCCTCCTGCCCTTCCATCTCCTTCAGCACTTGCCACTGGCTGAACCCAGCTAGGAGCCAGAGGGCAAGAGAACCCAGGTGAAGCAGTCCTTAACTTGAGGCTTAAAGCACAGAGCAAAGCCCAGAGGACGGAGCCTCCAGAGAGGTGGGGAGGAGTTTTGATGGAGGATAACCAATATTGGGGAGTAAGTCTTGGGCAAGACAGTATGAGATCAGTGTGTTGGAAGCTGGGCATTGGTGCTGTCCAGTCGCCATTGGTGTTGAGCATGTGACCAGGGCACCAGGGCCTACCCAGGGTGAGGCACACAGGTGGGTACTCATCCATAAAGTGAGGTTCATCTCTTCAGCCTGACTCCTCTGCTCCTTTGGTCCTAGGGGAGCCCTCCCAACCTCCCAATGGCAGCTGGCCCCAAAGTCAGAATGGGAGTGAAGCTGAGGTCACCCCGGCTGCCATCCTCACCTTCTCCTCCTACTACCAGCACTCTTCACCGGTGGCCGCCATGTTCATCGTGGCCTACGTGCTCATCTTCCTCCTCTGCATGGTGGGCAACGCCCTGGTCTGCTTCATTGTGCTCAAGAACAGGCACATGCGCACCGTCACCAACATGTTCATCCTCAACCTGGCCGTCAGCGACCTGCTGGTGGGCATCTTCTGCATGCCCACCACCCTTGTGGACAACCTCATCACGGGTGAGTGTGGACAAGGGGCCGCGGGAGTGTCCCCTGCCCCCCCCCCAACTTCAGCTAAAGCCTGAAACAAACGCATGGAAGACAGATCTCTGCTGGGCTGGCCTCTTGGCTAAGATGCCATTGTCTCAAATTCTCAAGATGGTTTTGTGGCTGAGGGATTAGACTAGAAATAATAGATACAATGGATTAATCATTTTTCTTTGTGCCAGGCATTATGTTACATATGCTTCATGCATTATCTTAATTAATCCCCACAGCAATTCAACCAAGCGTGCTTTGTGATTATCCTCATTTTATGGATGGGGGAAGCATTCCCCGAATGGTTAAGAGATTGGTTTGTAGTTACAAAACTAATAAGTGTCACAGCCCACCTCCTCACACCCCTAAGAAGCTCCCACGGGCAGAAATAGAACTAATGAGAAGAAATGGTAGAGAGCAGGTTTCCTTTGAACAAGGACCTAAAATTCTGCTTATTTGAGTGATTCTCCCCAAAAGAGGGTCCTGTCGTGTAGGTAATGAACTCCTTGTTTCTGGGAGTGTCTAGGGACTGGCTAGGCACTACGGAGGGATCTGTAGAAGGCAATAAGCAGAACTCTGGCTTCTAAATTCTTGCCTGTGCATCCGGCAGATGTCTGAAAGCCTCCACCAGCACGTACTCTCTTGTGATTGGCTCGTCTTGTTTTAGAATCGGTTCCTTGGGACTCCAGATGGGGAGGAATTGCTTTCCAGAGCTGTGGCGACCCCTGCAGGTCAGAGCCTACAGTTGCTTGAGCCAGCGCTCCCAGGAGCTCCAGTTGCAGATCCCCCTGCTTGGAGTGATGCACAGAGGGAGCCGCAGCTTGAGTTTCTGTGGCTTCTGAGCCCCAGGAAGTGGAGCCAGGGCAGAGTCCTGGTTCTTCCTGGTGGAACCTTGATTCACTGCTGAGTCCCAGATTCCTTCAGGGATGCTGACCATAAACTCTGCATCCGGCCCCTACAAACATACACGTGCGCTTTTGCGCACAGGTGCGCGCACCATAAACACACACACACTGGTGGACAGCAACATAGTGAGGCTACCAGTTGGTGAAGCTGGTGTCTTCCAGTCCTTTTCACACAACTACATTAAAAAAATTGCTAGAATAAGCCAAACATTCACATGATTCATTAAATCAGAAGCTACCAAAGGTGACCAGCGAAAAATCTCCTTTCCACCCCTGTCCTCCAGCCAGGCCTCCTCTCCTGGGGAGGAAGTGTCCAGTTTCTGGGTTTCTTTACAAAAGTATTTTTTTTAAGTAAATACGAGTAAATTAAAGAAATGAAGGCGGGCATGGTGGTGCACACCTATCATCCCAGTTACTCAGGAGGCCAAGGCAAGAGGATCCCAAATTCAACACAGCCTGGGCAACTTTGTGACACCCTGTCTCAAAAAATAAGAAGAGATGGGTTCAATCCCCAGTACTGAAGAAAAGAAAAAAAGAAAGGCTACATTTCCGTTCAGTTTTATGCCTTTTTCCCCACCCCTACTTAAAACTGGATCATGTTTGTTGTAAATAAGAACCATTAAACCAATTTACATGTTAATATTTCATACTAATAAATAAAAGAGTTTCTCATTCTTTTTTACAACTGCTACGAATTGCATGGCATGGATGTAGTACAAATTTATTTTTGATGGTATTTAGGTTGATTCTAGTAGAATCTTTTACAATTAAGTAAAACTTCAGTTTTTCCTTCCCTTTCCCTCCCTCCCTCCCACCCTCTCTTCCCTCTTTCCTTCCTTTCCATGCAGAGGGCTGACATGGGTGCCACAGTTCATAGCACTGTGTGACTTCACTTTGTTGTGAAGTTCCTCATTTATATTTTGTTTATTTATTTGTTCCCTTCATTATTCCTGTACCACTACATCTCCCTTCTCTGATCCATGGAATGTCATCCTATTATCTTTAATTTGTCTTTATTTTTATACATTCTTATCAGGGCTCCATGGTGCACTCCTATAATTTCAGCCGCTTGGGAGGCTGAGGCAGGAGGATCATGAGTTCAAAGTCAGTCTCAGCAACTTAGTGAGGCCCTAAGAAACTCAGCGAGACCCTGTCGCTAAATAAATTACAAAAATAGGGCTGGGGATGTGGCTCAGGGGTTGAGTGCCCCTAGTTCAATCCCTGGTACCCCCCCCAAAGTATTCACATTTAAATTATTTTTAAAGATATAATTTAACATACGACAAAATCTACCCTTTGGGGAAGAGTTCCACAAGTTTTGATGAAAACAGTCATAGTTACCATCACAATCAATATATGGAAAAATTTTGTCAGCCCAAGAAGCACCCATGTTCCTTTGTATTTGGCCCCTCCCCCTATTCCCTGGAATCTGCAATCAGTTTTTGTAGGGACAGAAAATTCCGTTTTGGCTTTTGCAAGGAGGTCATATAAATAGACTCATACAGTACATAAGCTTTTGAACCTAGTGGGCTTTTGTTTTGTTTTCCTTTTATTTTTATTTATTTATTTGTTTACTTTTTGGTACCAGGGATTGAACCCAGGGATGTGAAACCACTGAGCCAACCTTTTTTTTGTATTTTTATATATATATATATATATATATATATATATATATATATATATGCTGTAGCTGAACACAATATCTTTATTTTAATTATTTATTTTTATTTTTATGTGGTGCTGAGGATTGAACCCAGTGCCTCATGCATGCAAGGCAAATGCTCTACCACTGAGCTACAACCCCAGCCCCCTTTTTAGTTTTTCATTTAAAGACAGGATCTCACTGCGTTGCTTTGGGCCTTGCTAAGTTGCTGAGGCTGGCTTTGAACTTGCAATCCTTCTGCCTCAAACTTCAGAGCTGCTAGGATTATAGGTGTATGCCATCTGGCTCTTTTCCTTTTATTTTGAAATATCTTTAGACTTAAAGAAAATTTGCAAAACTAATACAGAAAGGTCCCAAGTACCCTTTATCTACCTTTTATTTAGGATATTTAATATTCCTAAATAACCATAATATAATAATCCAAACTAGGAAATAAGCATTTATATACTATTAACTGATCTTTAAACTTTATTTGAATTTCACTAGTTTTCCCACATATGTCCTTTTCTAGGGATTTGAGCCACAGTCCTGAACCCATAACCCGGAATGTTGGAATCCCAAAAGATTTCTAAAGCCTGAAATCCCCCAAGAGCAAAATCTAGAAAATCGAATTTTGAAAAAATTAATTTAAAAATTTCTTTAATATATATTTTGTTTGCAATTTTAAAGGCAAATTTATTTGAGAAACACATAAAAACACTGCAGACCACATCAAAGGCACTTTACACAATAAATAGGCAATAATAATAGGCACACAAAAACTAAGGTACACTAATGGCAGTCACAGGGTATAACAGTTTTGAGCACATGAATCATATTCATAAAGAAATCAGTCAAAAAGAGAAATTATATAAACACATACCACTAAGATTGGTAATTATGTGCACCCAGCTGTATAACTGCAATCATGATGCATCACCAGAATACATGCCGCTGCCCAAAGAAATCTTGAGAAATTTATCTTTCACAAATGCACGTGTACAAACAGGACATCTTGTCATCTATTGAGGATATTGCAAAGTTTTTATGTACACATGTAATGCTTAGACATAAAGCCAGTACAGTGGTGGTGTGCTTTTTTGGAGTCAATTTTGCAAAAAAAAATGCACAAGACAAAGCAGAACTCTCTAAGGTTTTTTTTTTTGTGTGTGTGTGTGTGTGCGTGTGTGCGTGTGTGCGTGTGTGTGTGTGCTGGGGATTGAATCCAGGGCCTTGTGCATGCAAGGCAAATACTCTATCAACTGAGCTACATCCCCAGCCCCTCTCTATATGATGTGTACCTCTAGTATTGCAAATGAAGAGAAGAAGAAATACGTAGCACAGTGAATTTTAAAGAATACTGCTGACAGCTGGGTATGGTGGTGCACGCCTGTAATCCCAGCAGCTGGTAGGGCGGGGGGCCTGAGGCAGGAGGATTGCGAGTTCAAAGCCAGTCTCAGCAACAGCAAGGTGCTAAGCAACTCAGGGAGACTCTTTCTCTACATAAAATACCAAATTGGACTGGGATGTGGCTCAGTGGTTGAGTGCCCGTGAGTTCAATCCCCAGTACCTGCCCCCCCGCCCGCAAAAAAGAATACTGCAGACAATATTAAATAGTGGGAGAAATTTAAAGAAAAAAAGAAAATTCAATATAGCTGGGTGTGGTGGTGCATGCTTGTAATCCCAGAGACTTAGGAGGTTGAGGCAAGAGAATCTCAAGTTGAAGGCCAGCCTGAGCAACTTAGCAAGACTCTGTCTTAAAATAAAAAATAAAAAGTTCTGGAGATGTACAGTGGTAAAGCATCCCTGGGTTTAGTTCCCATTACTGCTAATAATGATGATAATAATAAAATAAAAATCAACAGATGAAAAAGTGTATTGTAGAGATAGGTTATGGGCAATTATGGGTTACGGGATGGAAGTAGTCCCTTCATGGTCATTAACTACATTACTATATTTTGAAGTCCTGTATCACAATGAATCACTGCTTGGTTTTGTTGTTGTTGTTTGAGGCCATGGCTCTCCTCAGAGAACACATTTGCATTCATTCATTTCCTGTGAGATGGATTCTCCCCATCCACACTCATCTTCTGTGGAAACACACTCACAGACATACCCCAAATAATGTTTGACCAGGTGTCTGGGTACTCATGTGCCTGACATGACACAAGGATCCTGCAGACAGCTGCCCACGCTCTCACCCCTTCTCCAGAATTCCACTTTCTACCTCTTCTAGAGCCCTTTCTTTGCTGGAAATTTTGGGCTTTCAGGATTTCAACACAGATTTTAATCTTTCATAAAACCGATTTTCAGGATTTTGGCCCTTATGGGTGTTAGGTTACTCAGGAATATAATCAGCATCACTTTTCTAGCCCAGGATCCAAGCTGGGATTGCACAGTGCATTTGAGAAACATAAAAACACTGCAGACCAACTTGTTAAAGGTCCTTCCTTGGCCTTCATTGTCATAAACTTGACCATTGGAATAGTACTGATCAGCCTTTTGTGTGTGTGTGGCCCTGTGGATTGAAGCACTCTACCACAGAGCTACATCTCTGGCAATTTTTTTTTTTTGAGACAGGGTCTCACTAAGTTGCTTAGAGCCTCACTAAGTTGCTGAGGCTGTCCTTGAACTTGCAATCTTCCTGACTCAGTCTCCTGAGTTGGTGGATTACATGCATGCACCTATTCTGTACCTGGCCTGATCTGTTATTTTGCAGGATGTTGTGCAGTTTGGGTTGGCCTGATGTTTTCTCATAATTGGATCCAGTTTATGCATTTTTGGCAAGAATATCACAGAAAACACGCTGAGAAGCCACATGTTTATTAGAGGTGGTGTTTTCTTTGATTACTTGGTTAAAGTGGTGTCTCAGGTTTTTCAACTGTAAAGCAATTATTTTTCCCAGAATAATTACTTTCATAGGGGTGTACTTTGAGACTATGCAAAGGTCCTATTTCTCATGATTCATTTATCCACTGATTTTTGGCATCATTGGTGGTGCCTGCCTGCAACAATTATTGCTGTTATGTTTCTTTAGCAATGATTTTCCACTTAGAACACTCCTAAATCTACTAATTGGAATTCTATTCTGGGTTTTAATCCAATACTACCATTATGTATTTTGTTACTTAAATCGTGCCAGTTTGGGCTATTAGAAGCATTTGCAGTTGACTTCTGTGTCCTCCCAACCTGCTGCCATTTATTTTCTGACACCACAAAATGTTCCAGGGTCATCTGGTATTTATCTACCATCAGCCCTGGAATTAACCCTTTGCCTGAGGAGCATTTTTCCATTAATTGGAAAATAGTATTTAGAAACCAAGACAAGGGAGGCAGGAGTGCTTATTGCTTCTGGGCTGTCACTGCTTCTAGGCCCTCTCAAGGGACAGAGCTAGGAAATATATGTATATGAACACAGAGTTACATAGTACACACACACACACACACACACACACATGCACACACACATTTTTGGTACTGAGGATCAAACCCAGGGGCACTTTACCACTAAGCTACATTGACAGTCCTTTTTACTTTTTATTTTGAGATAGGGTCTCACTAAGTTGCTGAGGTTGGCCTTGAACTTGCAATCCTCCTGCCTCAGCCTCCAGAGTCACTGGGATTCCAGGATAACAGGGATGTGCCACTGTTCCCAGCTTCTGTAAACAGGGGATGATAATAGGGTAGTTATGAAGGTGGAAATGGCCTAGAACCTGGGGCAGAAACATGGAGCAGAAAGCCAGGCAGGGCTGGTGGAGAGAAATCACTGGCCAGCATAAGGCCACCTGTCAGAGCTGTGCATGTTGACATGGGCTGCCTGGTGCCTCTGTCCTGGAAGTGTGCAAGCCCAGGCAGGACAAGGAGGGAAGACCCAAGCTTCAGAGGGTCCTGGCTGAGAGCGCCAGAGTCTGGACTCCTGGTGGGGGGGCTTCTTTCATGCCAGGGGGGCCTCTGTCGTTGCAGGATGGCCCTTCGACAACGCCACATGCAAGATGAGCGGCTTGGTGCAGGGCATGTCTGTGTCGGCTTCCGTTTTCACGCTGGTGGCCATCGCTGTGGAAAGGTGAGAGTCAACCCTGGCCCGAGGGGCTGGCCTGAGGAGGTGTCTCCATGCACCACTGGGCTGGCTGGATGGCGGGGCCTCTCGGCTGGAGGGGGGCTGAATCCTGAGCTCTAAAGAGAACAGTTGGAGGCCCAGTTGCCCTCTAGACTGGGGTACCTGCTCTGAGGACACCTCCACCCCTCTGGAAGGCTTGGAGAGAGCCCTGGGGAGGCTTGATAGGAGTTCCTGGGTCTGTGAGGAGCCCGGGGGTCCTGCCTGCCACAGTGGGAACCAGGACAGCCAGCGCTAAGGGAGCAGCTCAGGGTGGGCACTGTGGGCCTGGGGTGTGGTTGGGGTTCTCCCCGCCCCCTCAGCCTACCCCAGTGTCTGCTTGCCGGTCCCTGGCAGTCCCCAACCCCAGCCTATCCCCACCACCTCCGGTCTTTCAGCCACAGATTCTAGCAGATTCTCTGATAAGCATGGTTCTGTGAATGTGGCGGAGGCGTGCAATGGAACCCGGGGTCAGGGAGGCTGGAAACAGCTCTGAGCCCTAAGTCTTCCCTATTCCAGGGCGCTTGTCTTCCTGCTCAGCATCTTGGTGCTCTGAGAGCTCCTCAGGGTGCTTTCCCCAGGGAAAGCAGATGAGCTGGAGGAAGTTTTTACGCTCATCAGTGCCTCGCTGTGTGATGTTGGGTGGGTCACTCAGCTAATCTGAGCCTCATCCGTACAGTGTAGGCTCATCCGTACAATGGCAACCACCATTTTCAGACAACTAAGCTTTTCTGCCTGAAAACCTTAGGCACAGTTCCCAGCTCAAGGTCCAAAGGTCAGCTGTGACCATTACTTCTTTAGTACACCGTCACACTCCTCTTTGTCCTCTCCTCAGTGCTAATACTCAGGCCTCCCTTTCTAGACTCCAGTGATCTCATCTTTTTTCTATTTCTACCCGCCCCCCCACCACCAAGCCTACTTTACTCTTCCCACAAAACTTTTATTTTATTTGTTTATTTTTATGTGGTGCTGGGAATTAAACCCAGTGCCTCATGCGTGCAGGGCAAGTGCTCTATCACTGAGCCACAACCCCGGCCTCAACCTACTTTTTATAACCCAGTCAAGTAGGCAGCTGGGCCGGGTGCAGTGGCACACGCCTGTAATCCCAGCAGCTTGGGAGGCTGGGGGTGTGGCTCAGTGGTTAAACACCCCTAGGTTCAATCCACAGTTCAAAAAAAAAAAAAAAAAGTAGGTAGCTGGTGTGATGGAGATGGTTCCTCTTTCCACAAAGCCACTAACTAGTTGGGTGAGTGTGGGAAGTCCCTCCCCTCCACCAGCCTTTATTGATATGAGTATGTGCAATGTCTCCCAGTGGTGTTTGCAATATTCTTCAAGTGCCACCTCCTCCAGGAAGCCTTCCTGGATTTTTATCCCAGGATTCTCCTCCACCTCTTAAGTATATACTTTAAGAATCCTTTGTTCTCTGGAGAGTTTTGGGATATGATACTGAAAAGCCAGTGGGTCAAGGTCACCCAGGCTGAGTCAGGCCATGGGAGAGGACAAAGGTGTTGAGGCCGGGACAGAGGGATAGGCAGCAGGACAGGATACAGGTGAGTGAAGTGGAAAGGGCACTTGGCTGGAAATCAGCTCCACCCTGTATTCAAGCTCAGGCTCTGTCCCCAAGGAAACAGGGACCTTCTGAGAAAGTCTCTTCCCCTATCTGGACCAGGTTCCCCTCCAGGAAAGAGGCAAGCTGGACATTCCTCAGAGTCTGTTTTCTGCCCTTGGAAGACTTCCTGGGAAGTTGGAGCCCCTCCTTTATCTCACTATTAAGCATTCAGAATGTCTCCAGAAGGGTGGTGACCTCACTTCAGCTTCACAACAGCCTGGCGGAGTAGAACCCCATTTAGCAGATAAAGAAACTGAGGCCCAGAAAGATTTTTCAGTAGTTGGCCCTTTGGGTAGTTCCATGCATTTATCTGAACACACTACAGAGGACACATTGGCACCTCTTCCACCTCCAGCAGCAGATCTCAACCCTGGCTGCAAACTGGAACCATCCAGGAGCCTCCAGGCAAAAACAAACAAACAAACAAACAAACAAAGCAAGCTAAAACCCCTTCCAGCTTCCCAGACTAATTACATTGGGATCTTTGACTAGAGAAATTGAGTTTTGGGTGTGGGATTCGGTGCATACCTTTTAAATGCTTCAGGAAATTCTAACTCACAACAAGGGCCTACAGCTACTGGTGATGTGGCCTAGTGAAGCAAGACAAATTGGGTTCAAAGGTGGTCACCAGTACTTGCTGGCTGTGTGACCCTGAGCCAATTGCTTGATCCCTCTCAGTTTCCTTATCTATAAATTAAGGGTGTATTAACAATTGCTGCTGAAAGAGTCTAATGAGGAAATAAATGGTGCAGACTTGCCCTCGTGTGGTGAAGGCAGTGATGAAGGGGCACTGGCTGAGAGGACAGAGGGACAGTCTGCCACACAGGCTCCACATCTGACCTCCCAGGGTTTTCTGGGAAATCCATAACAGCTAAAAATTGTATTTGTTGACACCCCCAGTGAGCCTTCTCCAGGGCAGGATGTGCACCTCAGACTGATAGCTCTGCGGGCTGCCAGCCAATCAGTGTACCCCAGAAGCGCAGGGAAGGTTTAATTCATTGTTCCCAGGCTGCGGTTCCCTTCTCCCCGCTCTCCGTAAATCTTGTCGCTGCCTTTGTTCCCCAGGCAGCCTCCCTCCCAGGTGAGAAGCCAATTTGCTTGCAAACTCACCTAATTAACTTCTGGGCTGTGGTCTGAGCTGCCTTAGGTGCCATGGGGGCCCCGGGGACCCTCCCAGATCCCTGCCTCTCTCCCCCACTCCCGCCACAGGTTCCGCTGCATCGTGCATCCTTTCCGCGAGAAGCTGACCCTGCGGAAGGCGCTGGTGACCATCGTGGTCATCTGGGCCCTGGCGTTGCTCATCATGTGTCCCTCGGCCGTCACGCTCACCGTCACGCGCGAGGAGCACCACTTCATGGTGGACGCCCGCAACCGCTCCTACCCGCTCTACTCGTGCTGGGAGGCCTGGCCGGAGAAGGGCATGCGCAAGGTCTACACCGCGGTGCTCTTCGCGCACATCTACCTGGCGCCGCTGGCGCTCATCGTGGTCATGTACGCCCGCATCGCCCGCAAGCTCTGCAAGGCGTCGGGCCCGGCCCGGGACAACGCGGAGGTGGCGGCCGAGGGCGGGCGCGCGTCACGGCGCAAGGCCCGGGTGGTGCACATGCTGGTCATGGTGGCGCTGTTCTTCACGCTGTCCTGGCTGCCGCTCTGGGCGCTGCTGCTGCTCATCGACTACGGGCAGCTCAGCGAGCCGCAGCTGCACCTGCTGTCGGTCTACGCCTTCCCCTTCGCGCACTGGCTGGCCTTCTTCAACAGCAGCGCCAACCCCATCATCTACGGCTACTTCAACGAGAACTTCCGCCGCGGCTTCCAGGCCGCCTTCCGCGCCCGGCTCTGCCCTCTGCAGTGGGGCAGCCACCACGGCACCTATTCGGAGCGGCCCGGCTGGCTCCTGCGCAGGAGGGTCTTGATGGAGGTGCAGCCCAGCGACTCGGGCCTGCCGTCGGAGTCGGGCGCCAGCAGTGGGGCCCCCAGGCCTGGCCGCCCACCGCTGCGGAATGGGCGGGTCGCCCACCAGGGCTTACCCGAGGAGGGGCCTGGCTGCTCCCACCTGCCCCTCACCGTACCAGCATGGAACATCTGAGATGGTCCAGAAAGGGCAGGCCCCTGCCTGTGGCCCCAACTGCACCTGCGATACCTGGACACTTACTTGGCAGCTTGGGGTGGAGTTAGAAGATGCCAAAATGCCTGCTGCTCGCTGCTGGCGATGTCCTCTCCCCTCAGATGGCACGGAGGAGGGAGAAACCTACTCTCCCCAAACGCTTCCTATGGGGTAGATTTGACAACCATCATCTCATTGAATTCCCACAACGCTTTGGAAGTGGGCTTTCTTAAGCACCTTCTCTTCAACAGATGAAGAAACAGAGGCCCAGAGAGTAGAGGTGTCTAGCCCAAGGTCGCTCAACTGGAAATCTCACTTGGACCTGCCAGGCTCCAGTGCCTGAATGGTTTTGCCGTCTCCAGCTGTCTCCATAAGGGAAGCACAGGGAAACTGTAAATCCTAACCAACTAGGCAGCTGGGAAGAGACAGGAAGCAAGCCAGCAGAGCTTTGATGCTCAGAACCCTGTCATTCAGTCTGTATGTTCTGTTGCTCAGGCTGCTTCTTTGGGTCTTTTGCTGGGAGACCATGGTGTGCCTCACCTGCCAGCTCCAATGTGTTGTTTTGTCTTGTTCCAAGAAGTGTCCAGGGCCATTGTCTTTCAGGATGTCGCCCTGGGGAGCCTGCTTGTTACAGGGCATTTGAGACCTGAGCCTACAGAAGGGAGGAAGAGTCCATCTCCCACCCCCATCTCCCAGAGCCCGGCAGACCCCAGTGCAGGGGCTGGGAAGCCAGGTGGAGGTGTGTTTATTTACTACTGGACAAAGGGGAAGGGAGAGCACTGTTCCTGCTGTCCACCTTTGGAAACCCATGTGGAGGCCTTTCCTCACTCATCCTGGGATATAGACGCTGGCCAGCTGACTGCAGCTGGGCTCTCCTGGGGGACTCCTGAACCCCTCCCTACATGGATGACCCATGTACCTCAAACAGTGGGAACCAGGAGATCCTCTGTTCTCTTCAGCTCTCAACCAGTGCGCCTGCGCCACTTCAAGAGTGCGCCTTCTCTCCAGCAGGTGGGAGGAACTAGGTTGCCTCAGGCGCACCTGCAAAAAATCTGCAGTTGACCGGACATTTTTCCCCCTCAATCCATTACTGCTTTTGCTAAAAACTGAGTGAATGAAAAGGAAACATTTCCCGAGGTCAGGGCTCTCTCTGATTGTTTCCTTAATAACACACAATGACTTAACCCTGTTTATTCCATTCTAAGCACTGGGAACAGGGACAGAAGAAAATGCCAAGTAGTTGTACTTTTCTAAACAGGTCCCCAAACACTGACTGTGTTATTTCATTCACACAAACAAGGTTGGTGATACTGGTATTGACATTTTTAAAGTGAGCCCTTAAGGACCAAGGAGCAGGGTTTGTGTGAGGACACGTCTTCTGACTGTTCTTCCTATACAGTCTCCTGCCTTTTAGGGAAGGTCATGGGCATGGCAGGAAGGAGAGCTGGAAATTCCCCCAAAGACTTCCTGTCTAATAGTGAAACAGAAAGCCCACGGAGTAGAATCCTGGTGCCCAAGATCTTGGGCTGGGAAATGAATCTATTGTGTTTGCTCTTGTAATTTCCGGCCTGACTTGTTCTGTGTATAAGATCTATGACCCATGTGTTGAGCAAGCTGCTGAGATCCCTTATGACCCTGTCCCGTTCCAAAAGTCTGGGAATGATGGAAGGGGGTCTTGCCCCTCAGTGGCCTTAGCTGGTGCCTTGCATGATCTTCACTTTTTGTGCCATATCTGTGTCCTGAAACACATACACCTGGGAGTTGGTGGCTGTTTATGTGAAGAATTCTGACGCCAGGCTCTAAAAATAGACTAAACAAAGGGCCATCTCAAACCCCAATTGGCTGTGCCTGTGGCTTTCTGGGAGCTGTTTGCAGACACTGCTCCAGGGTGTGCTTCCTTTAGTACGGCCTCCTCCAGTGCAAAAACATAGCCATTATGTGTATTTCTCTCTCAGATGTGTGTATGAGAGAGACAGGGACAGAGGAAGAGATGGAAGGGGAGAGAGAGAGAGAGAGAGAGAGAGAGAGAGGAAGAGGGAGACAGAAACCAAGGCACTCACAAAAACCAACCATCCTACCATGGTCCCTTCTCTTTATTTCCCCTAAAGATGCCATGTTTTGAGAGGTGGTGACTGCCAGCAAAAGAAAACAAAATTCCTGCACAGAGCGTTCACAATCCATATATTTTGTTGTATTTTTTATTTAAAACTATCAGAGGCTGCCCATCCAGAGACTGGATCTGAAGGATGACACAACCTGACGCTTTGGTGAAGCCCTGGGGCCTTGTGAGTGATGGGGAACTGGTTTGTTTCTTTGTGAATGTGGTGAAATATACACCACATAAATCTTGCCAGTTTAGCCATTTTTAAGGGTACAGTTCAGCAGCCTTAGGTACATCCCCGCTGCCATATAACTATACCACTACCATGTCCAAAATTCAGCCTCCCTCCTCAGTACCCATGAAGCAACTCCCCACTCCCCTTCCTCCAGCCCCTAAAAACCCCCATTCCACTGTCTCTGAATTTGATTATTCCAGGTACCTCATACCAGTGGACTCCTCCAGTATTGATCCTTTTTTGACTGATTTATTTCACTCAACATGTTATTCTAAGGTTCATCCATGTTGTAGCATGTGTTGGAATTTCCCTCCTTTTTAAATTTTTCTTCTTATTTTGCAGTGCTGGGGATTGAACCTAGGGCCTCACTCATGCGAGGCAAGTGCTCTACCACTGAGCCACCTCCTACCCTTCCTTCCTTCCTAGGGCTTCATAATCTATATTCTACATTTTGTGGGTCCATTCACCCAACAATGACCGCTGGCTGTTTCCACCTTTTGGCTTTGGTGAATGTATGGAGCTTTAAGAGAATGCAAGTACTTCCTAAAAATAGTGTCTGTGTGAACCCTAAGGACAGAGACCCCCAAGATCTTTCTCAACTTTGAATTTATGTGTGACAGAGAGAAGCTTCCCAACAGCTCTGTGCTCCCATGGGGCTTTGCTTCTTGATTAGAGTGGCTAAAGATTTGTATGTTCTGCCCATGGGATTTTTAAAAATATTTTTTTTAGATGTTGATGTTGGTTTTATTCATTTATTTACATGGGGTGCTGAGAAATGAACCCAGTGCCCCACACATGCTAGGCAAGCACTCTACCACTGAGCCACAAGCCCAGACCCCCACAGGATGTTTTCACGAAGCTCTTTTTATAATCACAGCTTTTTAATTCTCACTGGATTCCTGTGTCCCGACACCTAGGCCCTGTCAGGAGACGTGTATAACCAAGGCACTCAAGGGCAGGCCGTGTGGTTCCCTGACGTGCCACTCTCCACGTTCGGCTTGGTCGGGTCTCCTGAGGTGACTGTCCATTCACGGAGGAAAGCTCAAGGGTGAACTGAGCATGTGAGGGGGGAACAGGGCCAGAGGCCTGTTGACACTGAGTGCCCCCACCCCAGAGGGGCTTTTGGAGGGACTCCGTGTCCTGTGGTACCATGGTGTAACAAGAGTGGCCCGCCCCAGCCCCACAAACCACAGTCTGCCCAGCCCTGGGCTGTGGATCTTCTCTTGGGGCCTGGAGAACACTTGCGTTGGTTTGGGTTGGAATGGAGGGTGGAGTTGGCAAAGGAGCACCGGAGCCCCCCATCACCAACCTACTGTGTATTCATCCCCAAATCAAGGTGAAAGCCAAAACGAGGGCTGCGTGGACAAGGCATTGCTATTAAGCTCTGTACCTTTCTGCATCCGTCTCCTCAGCTCACCCCTCAGAAATGCCACCGAGGAAAGACAGATGAGAGGTGACCCACATGGGCTTCCTTACAAGCAAACAATGTTGAGTCAAAATAGTTTCCTTGTTGAATAACCCAATTATTGTTGGTGCGGGTTATTTACTTATTTATTTACAAACGCATTGCATAATCATCGTGGAAATTTTACAGAATTTCGATAAGTACAGAAAAGAAAATTGAAAACATTTAAATCCCACAAGATAAGCATAGTTGTTTTCTATGCACCTATATCTATATATTTTCAATTTCTGTAACAGCTTCATTGAGGCATCATTTGCATTCACCCATCTTAAATATATGTCCAGAGAGTTTTAGCAATTATTTACATGTGTGTAGCCACCACTACGCTCAGATATATCCATCATCCCAAAGAGTTTCCTGGTGTCAATTTATAGTCAATCCTCTCCCCTCACTCTTGATCCCAGAAAACCACCCATCTGACTTCAGAATGTCCTGTACCTGGAATCAATGTCTATAGATAGCCTCTTGGGTCTGGCTTCTTTCACTAAGCAGGATGTTTCTGAAATTCACTGATGTGGTACCATGTAGTTCATTGCTTTCTATTGCTAAGCAGTATCCCATTCTATGTATGAGTGTGAAGATGTTTTGTTTATCCATTGGTCAATTGATGGTCATGAAGGACCATCAAAAGGCCTGGGGTAGAGCGCTAACCTAGCACAGGTGAGGCACTGGGTTCAATCCTCAGCACCACATAAAAAAATAAATAGAATAAAGTGATTGTGTCCATCTACAACTACAAATATTTTAAATAAAAAAAGGACCAGGGATGTGGCTCAGTGGGTTCAATTCCCACTACCAAAACAAACAAGCAAAAAGATGAAGAGCTGAGAGTTCCTCTCTCTTACAGACCCTCCTTTCCACCAAGTTGCCTGTAATTCAGTCCTTACTACTTATAGCAAACTGCTTCTGGGAGCCCTTTTCTGACACCCCTCAAGCTGTCCCGTAACCTCGTGGGACCCCACTCTAGCAAGTATCACAGCACATTATGATTTTTCTCTTTCCTGTCTCTGTTCACTGGATGGTAGGGAGCTTCACATTCCCAGACTCAACAGATTGTAAATTTGTCGAGCAAACACAGAATTCAGTTGCATCTAAATTGTCCCCTATAATTACAAATGGCGAGTCCTCTAAACAGGTAATTCAGTATAGTGTTGCGAACACTATACTGAATTACCTGTTTAGTTTTTGACTCTCATGAAGGATGCTGCTGTAAGCATTCATGTACCAGTCCTTCTATGTATGCATGCTTTCAATTCCCTTAGGTAAATACCCAGGAGCGAGGCTGCTAGGTGGATGGCAAGTATGCCGTCTGGATAATAAACTGCCAAAGCATTTTCCAAGTGCTCCACCATTCTGTACTCTCATCGGCAGATCCAGTTGTCCCTCACTCTTGCCAACACTGAGTAGCATCAGTTTCCCTGGTAACTAGTGATGCTGGGCATCCTTTTGTGTGTTTGCTGGCCATTTATCTTTTATTATAAAGGGTTTTCAAATCCGTCTTTTAAAACATGATTATATTGCAGAGACTTGTGCACAAAAATTCTCCCTAAATCTGAGGCACCTATCACTAATAGATGATAATTAAGTTTCTGGTGAACTCAAAACATTTATTGGGGCTGGGGTTGGGCCTCAGTAGTAGGCACTGGCCTCAAATGTGCCAGGCCCTGGGTTGGGTCCCCAGCAACCACAAAAAGGCAAAACCAAAGCCAAACAAAAAAAAAATATTCAGCGCCAGACATGGTACTAGGGCTTTGTGTGTCGTTTTCTTTCTCGTGATGGAACAGAAGCTTCATGTGGACAGCAGCTGTGTCTACTTCCCTCATCTTGTGGACTTAAAAATCTAGGATGTTGCCTGGTGCTTAAGAGGCACTCAACAAATGTCTATTGGATGAGCGAAGCAATGAAATAAGTAGGTGTTTATTATTCCCACATTACAGATGGGAAAAGCTAGGTCAAATTACGTATAGATCATATAACTGGGAGGTGCTGATCATGAGACTTATGTCTTGGTTCCTTTGATCTTAAAGCTCAGGTTTTGGCTACTCCCTGAAGCTGCCTCAGCCTCTCCTTCCTGCAATGGGAGCTGAGGTTCAGCATAAAAGCAAGAGGCTTGATGGAGGTATCCTAAAAATAAAACCAGCCAGCCACAGGCTCCAGACTGCTGTTTTGGCCACGGGGCCATATTTCCATCACATTCAAAGGCTTCCAAGGGTTTGAGATGGAAGGGATACCAGCAGTTTGAGTAAAAGATACTTAGTTTGATCCAACACCACACCGAGCCCTCATCAGCCACAGGCTCCCCTGCGCTTGTGGTCACCGAAGGAGCCGAAGCTGCTAAACTGACTGTAGTCCTGTTGTTTATGTTCTCTCGCTGGCTGCAATGCCCCGGTCTTTGAATCCGGTCACCTACAAATGCTGCTGTAGTCATGTGCAAACAACCAAATAAATGTGGGTGGAAAAACCCAAGCTTAGTGATTTGGAGAAATGAGTTTATCTGTCACCCAGCCAGAGGTGGTATTCAATCACTCTTTGTTTGAGGAGTGATCACTCTCCCCCACCAGTACCCTCTGTCTCCAAGTCCGGCTATTTCAGAGACGGAGCAGCCCATATTTCTGGTTGGAGTGCCCCCAGGGTGGGCGTTATTTTTGTCCATAGTGTGGTCTGGTGGCCCTTGGACTCCATCTCTAATATCATAATCGCCTCCTTTCTCCTCTTCTCCACAATGATCCTGTTACCTGTGATATAAATTGTGGAAAATAAACTCATTGTGAAAGAATTTGCTGTTTCTTATGTGCTGTTCAACATCAGCAGTTTTCCCCTTTTGTGTCTTCACCATGAACGTTCTTTGTGGTGGTTGTTTTGTTTTGAGGCAAAATAGCCATCCCTTTAAAAAAAAAAAAGTGGACCCCAGGCTACGGACCCTCTAACCCAACCACAGCGCCCCCATTTTGTAGATGGTAAGTTGAGTAGCATGGAGGCCAAGGCACTTACTTCCTTGAGGTCTCAGAGCTCCTAAGTATTGAAATCAAAACCAAACCTCAGGCTTCGTGGGCTGCAGTGAAGTGTTCGCAACACTATACTGAATTACCTGTTTAGAGGACTCGCCATTTGTAATTATAGGGGACAATTTAGATGCAACTGAATTCTGTGTTTGCTCGACAAATTTACAATCTGTTGAGTCTGGGAATGTGAAGCTCCCTACCATCCAGTGAACAGAGACAGGAAAGAGAAAAATCATAATGTGCTGTGATACTTGCTAGAGTGGGGTCCCACGAGGTTACGGGACAGCTTGAGGGGTGTCAGAAAAGGGCTCCCAGAAGCAGTTTGCTATAAGTAGTAAGGACTGAATTACAGGCAACTTGGTGGAAAGGAGGGTCTGTAAGAGAGAGGAACTCTCAGCTCTTCATCTTTTTTGCTTGTTTGTTTTGGTAGTGGGAATTGAACCCACTGAGCCACATCCCTGGTCCTTTTTTTTATTTAAAATATTTGTAGTTGTAGATGGACACAATCACTTTATTCTATTTATTTTTTTATGTGGTGCTGAGGATTGAACCCAGTGCCTCACCTGTGCTAGGTTAGCGCTCTACCCCAGGCCTTTTGATTTATTTTGAGACAGGGTCTCATTAAGTTCCCTGGCTAGCCTTGGACTTGAGATCCTCCTGCCTCAGGCTCCTGAGCAGCTGGGGTTACAGGTGTGTGCCATCATGCCCAGCCGCTCACCTATGAAAGCTCACACTGGCAGTATGTCCAGAGCGAGCTGGAGGGAGATGGAGCTGGATCCCAGTAAGGTAAGGAGGTATCTGCAGGAATCAGGGTGAGAAATCATGGGACTGGCTGAGGCAGGAGGGATGGAGAAGAGGCAACAGGCTCAAGAGCTGCTGCAGACATCACCCGCCCCCCATGCTTTCAGTTGTCCTAACAGAAACCTGGCACAGAGTGACCAAGTTAAAAGGGATAATGTGGCTCGTACAAGTGCAGAGAACTGGTGCATCCAGGGGCTCACAGTGTCATCAAGGACCCAGGCTGTGTCCATTCCTCTACAGAGTGAGGCCTCTTGCAGACAGAAAAAGAGAGAGGGAGAACAGACAGACAGACAGATGATCTCTCTTGTCATGACTTTTCCAAAGAACAGAAGGAGCCGGTTACTGGCTCAAAATGGGTCAGGTACCTGTTCCTGAGCCAATCCCTGTGGCCAGGGAATG